GATATGACAAGATTAAGCAAGCTATAATACTATCTTCTGAACAGTTCTCTGAAAAAAATTTGAATCAACATAATATTTTGCAGTTAAAAATATTGAGGCTTTTCTTTTGCTGCTTTGTATTAAACATGGCCAGGGAATTGACTCTTTATACTTTATTCATAATCAACTAGATGCCCATCTCTTTTAGTCAGCCATGCTAGAAAAGAAGACATCATGTTTTAATGTAGTAACAATCTCATTAATCCCTGCAGATGTCAGTATATTTGAATATAGACCAATTTTTACATTTTGATGATTCTGTTGACCTTATGCATTTTTATTAAGAGACTTTATTCACTCATTTGATTCTTAAAAGTAGGGAAATACGTGATACTTTAAAAGTTAAGATCAATGTCTTTGTTAAAATCTGTAGCAAGTTGTGAAACAAAGTTATATTTAACATTATGCTTCTTAAACTTCTTTAGGTAATTGTCAAATTTTTCCCTGAAATTTTACTTGAATACAATCTATTGCCTTCTAAAATGCCTTTAATAATTCCTAATTAACTTCAAAATAAATCTAAACTCTTCAGCCCTGCATTAAACATCTTCTAAATCTGGCCCCTCCTTATCCAGTTTTATCTTTAGAATGCAACCCTCTTCCTTCCCCTCTGTTCTCTCTAGCTGCAGCAGAAGGGAGCAAAGGTTACATGTCTTTAGATGCTATGATGAAATTATATCCATTCATCTAAATGACCAGTTAAAAGAAACAAGAAATTTAAGCAAACTGACTGTGTAGCCAATTAGCCTGTGTACTCTGCTCAAACTCTTTCCCACCACAGGTTTTTGGACTTGCCCCTGGAATGCTCATGGTCCAGAGAACCACTTGTTAGCACCCTCACTTCAGTCTCTTTAAAAAGCCACCAGGGAAGCTTTTCTCCTCCATCTAAAATAGGTGTTTGCACATGCACCCCTGACCCTTTCCCTCTCAGGGCTCAGAAAAATGCCAGCACGTAGAAGACAGTCAATAAATATTTTCTAAATGCCTAACTGGTTTGCCATCTGGAAATGCATTTTACTTGGTTAATAACCATCCATGCTTCGGCTCTCGGTTCCAGTCACTTCCTCTAGAAAGCTTTCTAACTATATAAATCCCCTATTATAGTCTTATATAGCACAGTTAAGCTTTATCTCTATAGTACTTGTCACAATTATACCTTTACATGTTTGTGTCAATATTTTATTATCTGTTATACTGTAAATAATGGCAAACGTTTGTCATTCATATCTATACCAGACATTGTTCTAAGTACTTAATCCTTACAAATTTCTGGAGTAATACTATTTTTGGCCTCACTTTACAGATGGGGAAAGGGAACCACTAGGAGGTTAAATAACTTGCCCATTATCACAGTCAGTAAGTAGTAGAGCTGGGATTTAAACATAAGCCATTTGGCTCCAACATCTAATCATTTATTAATTAACTAATTAGGTAGAGATACTTTCCAACCTTGAGATTCTGAGGTTTAATTTGAAATAATTAAGCACGTGCTAATTTGTTTTTTAAACCATTTCATTTGTAGATATTTATCTTTAAAAGATAAATATATACCTGTTGAATATTTCTAAAAGTTTTTAGAAATATGTACGAAGAGGTAGTTTTTGGTATCACAAGGAATGTGGAACACTACTGGTCTTTCCTCTAATATGTGGGGCACTTCTAAACAAGGAACGATCATCTGACCCATAGTGTCAGTCATAAGTCCTTTGGTAAACACTCAAGACAATTGTAGGAAGAAGAGGCAGGAATGGGGGCAGATAGGGAAAGAATTGGCATTTATCAAATACCTTAATACTATACTTAATTCTTGTTGCCTCTTTTAGCTTTCACAACAATCCTATGAAGTATTATTATCTCCTTTATATAAGTAGAAACCTGAGACTCTGTGAGGTTAAGTATTTTGTCCAAGGTCATAGAAGTGAGGTATAGGTGTTTTGTTAAACTTGGCTAGATAGAAGCTCAAGGATGAAGAAAGAGCAGAGTAATAATTCACCTGGGACCTCACTGCTAGAATCCAAGTGACCATCATTTCTTTTTCAGTGTTCTATTTTTGGATCAAGACAGAGTCTAAAAAGGCCGAGCTGGTCCAGCATCTGCTGCTTTTAGATTGCTTTGGCCCTTATTTGTATTCTGTCCAAAAGTATATGACTTTTGTGACATATTTTAACTTCATTGTTATCATTATTTCTCCTATTTAAAAGTAAAAATAACTTTCTGACCCTTCCCCCTTCATTCACACCATTTCTCTGCTCTCTTTTGGGATAGTACTTACTATGTTGCCTGTCTCTGAATCTTCTCCCATTCAGGGTCCCACCACATCCCCAAAATTGCTTTTCTCGTTGGCCTGTGTTACTAAACCTTATGGTTAATTCTCAGTAAGTACTTGACCTGTTAGCATTATTTAACACAATCTCTTTCTTTCCCCTTCTTGATTTGGGATTTCCTAAAAGTCTCAATGCAGTTTTAAGTTTTAGAAGCTCAAAACTGCATTAAGACTTTGAGGATAGCCTTTACTTTCTTAGCTTAGCTTCAGGTGCCTTGACATTTTCACCTGAATGTCTGTTAAAACTCAGACTTAAGATGTCCAAAACCCCCCACAGCCACCCAAAACCTGCTCCACCTTCAGTTATTTCTGCCTCCACTGATAACTACTTCATTCTTCTTCTAACACTCAAACCAAAAACCTTAGAGTTACTCTTGAATCCTTTCTCTTTTGCTGCGTATTTACCTATTAGGAAATTCTGTTGGCCTGACATTCAGAATATGTCCAGAATCTGACTCACCGCCATCTCTTTTCTACATTATTTCAATGGGCTGATCTCTATTTCCTATATTATGTATACATCAGTGAAAGTGATCAGATTATGTTACTCCTGTGTGCAAAGCCTTCCAAGGGTTCTTTATCTTAAAGGACAAGCCAAGGTTATTTTAATGGGTCTACATTTTTCATATATTACTACTCTCCTCTTTGTTCACTCCATTCCAGCTAACATACCTACTAGCACCAACCTAGGGTGTTCCACTAGCCTCTTTCTATTGGAAAGTGCTTCTGTCAGTGTCTACTTGACTCTCTCTCTTTCTTCAAATCCTTACTCAAATTCTGTTGTTTAGCCGGGCTCGGTGGCTCAGCCTGTAATCCCGCGCCTTTGGGAGGCTGAGGTG